GTTTTGATAGTTATTCTTTACACATAAAGTTGTAATTGATCTTACTTTCCACAATTAAAAAGTGCGAAATCGATCTATGCATACATGCACGATTTTCAAGATTAGTGAAGTGTGTATCTCGTTTTGAGGGAACCTCAAAAGAGTCTTGAATGCTTAATTAAGTGTTATAAAGTCTATGTTCGAAAACACTAATTACTTATAAATTGTCCTACCTATCACTTTTAATGCCTAGAAGTTGTTTCTATAAGATATTGAAAGCACAAATTTGCTTGAATCCTGGTGTTCTCAGAGCAAATAATCTCTAAGATATTAATGTGAATATTTATTTCAAATGACAGGCGGTTTGACAGCTATCATTAGCCCTTTAGCTGACTTCGGCCTACACAAAGGGGAGAAGGAACATCAAAGTGACACAAATGTCGAGAGGAGAAACAGAAGAGTGATCCACAGATGTAAAAGAGACAAGTAGACACACAGAAAAGGTGAGATGAGTATTGTGAAGGTGGTCGAATATGACATACAGTGGGGTAATGGTAGTTTGAAGTGAGAAGTCAACTGCCGATTAATAGACATTTTTGCCGTATGAGTATACGTTGCCCAGGGTGCACCACATGGAGGTAAGTCTATTGCACACCCCAGATATTAATATACTTACTCACATTTATTGCATTCTGCCTTCCGAATGTACCTGATCTTTCTAAAGCTACTTAGAGAGACATGTTTTATCTATTCTCTTTCTTTCCTTTACACCAGATGTCCCCGAAGAATACGTGGCCAAGAAGGAACGTCAACTTGCCGAAGCCCGTCGCCGTAAGAAGATGCGAATGTCAGCTCGGGCGGTGCAGATCCAAAAGGAAAATCACGCCTGGGAAATTAACAGAATGTTGCGCTCTGGGGTGGTGGAGCGAGTGGCCGCCGATGAAGATGACAATGATGAGGAGGATTTGGATGAAGAGGGGGAGGCTCGTATTCATTTACTGGTGAAGAATATAATGCCTCCTTTTCTCGACGGACGCATTATCTTCACCAAACACCCAGAACCGGTTATGCCCGTCAAGGTGCGTTTGAATATTCGTACTTTTCTGTTGTTCTAAGATTCATATAGCTCCTATACTCCCTATTGGGGTAATATATCAAATAATTAAGTACCTCGTTGATTATTAAAGTTGCTCTAATCTAGGCATTGAAGTAACTTTAGCATTCAGAATACATTCGACTTTGAAATCTCCTTTCGAAACTCGTGATCTTTCTGAGGCTACAAAGTAAGACAATTTTTTCCAGACGTAAATGATCAAGAATTTGGCGTGCACTACTGGTGTATTGGCCGATAGTCTAGGTAAAGGAGGGAAAGGAGAAGGTCATTTTGCAATTCGGAAAAGAAGCAAATGTCAACACTTAACTAGTAGAACTCGGCTAATGATAAAGAGGGCCTATTGAAGTTCGTTATTTTTCCCTGAGCGAACCTCTAAAATTTCCACTTGAGAGTGAGGACGTGAAGTGTTATGGGTCAGCATTCACGTCCAGCAACATTGTCCATGCACCTTATTGCCCTTGATCCATCTATCCTTTTCATTAAGAGACGCTTAGACTTGTTTCTTGGCTTTCGGTCTTGGTGTTGTTGAATTTATCAAAGAATGAATGAATGAAAACTTTCCTCCTATCTTCTTTTGCCTGCTTAGGGAAAATCGTGGCAAAAGTAATCGAGGGTTAATGAGAGTGGTGGAAGGCATCATACCACTTTTTAACCGTCAAGTGCAGGTGGGCAAATGCCGATTTTGTTCTTCTCGTAGTTAAAAGAGTTTTAGGGTCTTCATGGAAATGTAGAAGAGCAGAAGCTTGCAACGAGTTTAGTAGTTTTCACAGGCTTAGGAACAGTTGGGTGGAATAACCCTGGAATATATTCTTAGACCTGTTTTACTTTGAGTGTATCACTGTTTCACCTCGACTAAGTTAAATTAGGCCATTCATATGCTTGAGAAATGGTTAAGTTGTATTTTTCCCATCCGTTAACTATGTTCAGATCTACACATAGCATACATTCTTTTTTGATTTACAAATTAGGTCCCTTGGGTTATTATAAGCATTTTCTCTTTGTTCTTTCAGGATCCGGACGGTGTGATGACAAAAGTGGCTGCCAAGGGTAGCGCAGTGTTGCGTTATTTCCGTGAACAGCAGGAGCGTCGCCGAGCCCAAAAGAAGGAATGGGAGTTGGCTGGCACTCGTATCGGTGACATCATGGGCATCAAAAAGACAGACGATGCGGAAACTGGCGATAAGGAAATTTCCTATCGTGATTCTCAAACATTCGCGGATAAATTTGGTAGTGATAAGGATCAAGCCGTCTCAAATTTCGCCAAGAATAAGACCATTAAAGAACAAAGGCAATACCTACCCATCTTCGGTGTTAGAACTGCCCTATTGAGGTTGGTTAAAGAGCACCAAATTGTTGTGATTGTAGGAGAAACAGGCAGTGGAAAGACAACCCAATTGACCCAGTATCTTCATGAGGATGGTTATACAAAATATGGAATGATTGGGTGTACTCAACCACGTCGTGTCGCTGCAATGTCAGTTGCTAAGCGTGTAGCTGATGAAATGGGAGTTTCTCTAGGAGATGAAGTAGGTTATGCGATTCGTTTCGAGGACTGTACCAATGAGAAAACAGTGATTAAATACATGACCGACGGTATTCTTCTTCGTGAATCACTGCGTGAATCTGATCTGGATCCGTACTCAACAATTATCATGGATGAAGCCCACGAACGTTCTCTCAATACTGATGTTCTTTTCGGTCTCCTTCGGGAAATTGTCAGTAGAAGAAATGACTTGAAATTGATTATCACTTCTGCCACCATGGACTCAGAGAAATTTGCCCAGTTCTTTGGAGATTGCCCCATCTTTCATATCCCTGGTCGTACATTCCCTGTTGATATACAATTCAGCAAAACACCGGTTATGGACTATGTGGATGTGGCGGTAAAGCAAGCAATTCAGGTTCATCTTGGTTCACCGGAAGGAGATATTCTTGTCTTTATGACTGGCCAAGAAGATATTGAGGTGACTTGTGAGTTAATTGCTGAACGATTAGGAAACTTAGAGGAGGCCCCACCATTGTCTGTATTGCCCATCTACTCCCAGTTGCCAAGTGATTTACAGGCAAAAATCTTCCAGAAAACAGAGGATAACACGAGGAAGTGTGTAGTGGCTACTAACATCGCAGAGACATCGTTGACTGTGGATGGTATTAGATATGTCATTGATGCTGGCTACTGTAAATTGAAAGTGTTTAATCCCAGGATTGGTATGGATGCTCTGCAGCTCTTTCCTATCAGTCAGGCAAATGCAAATCAAAGGGCTGGACGTGCCGGTCGTACTGGTCCTGGGTACGTTTCCGTTTAGATGGATTCTGAATCTTTAATATTGTGAGAGCTTTGCAATCGATAGTTAAATTAGTTGTTACAGTCTTCTTATCTTCATTTTTGCTTCCTTCAGTAAGCTTTCCCCTTAGCTCTGGGAATCATCTGTTTTCCATGCTCGTCTTTGTTGAAAGAAGTACATTCTAAGCATCGAATGAGAACGCTTTCCCCGCTATCCATTTATTCACAGTTTCAGACACTATTTTTCCATTCATTGGGTATTGAGCCCTTAATCATAGATCAGGGACAGACGTACACTTTGACTACTACGTCACCAGCCCAGTTAATTGATTCGTTTATTTTTAAGCGCGATGCTAACTACCTGTTTGCATTACCGATGTACTAGATTAGTTTAAAGCAACGTTTGTGAGTCAGGCGATCTATGCGTGGATAAATTATTGAATAGATGTTAGTTTGTGTATTGCGGTATCTTATTTTCAGATAAGTAACTTACTTCTTCTAATCTAGTGTTGCCTACCGTCTCTACACAATTGGTCAGTACGAAGAGGAGATGCTTGTCTCTTCAGTGCCTGAGATTCAACGAACAAACTTGGCCAACGTTGTCCTCTTGCTGAAATCCCTCGGTGTCCGTGACCTCATGCGTTTCCATTTCATGGATCCACCCCCTCAGGACAATATTCTCAACTCTATGTGTCAACTTTGGGTCTTCGGAGCGCTGGATAACACTGGAGGTCTGACTCAACTTGGTCGTCAAATGGTTGAATTCCCCCTGGATCCTGCACTCTCGAAACTCCTTCTTGTTGCATGTGAAATGGGATGTTCGGAAGAGGCATTGACCATCGTTTCTATGCTTTCTGTGCCTTCCATTTTCTATCGCCCCAAGGGACGTGAGGAGGATGCTGATTTAGCCCGAGAGAAATTCCAGGTGAGTTATTTGCTACTGAAATTTTGATAGTATAAAGTCTTTTTTTGTCTATCCACCATATATTTTTTACCTGATTTCCATGTCATGATCACCATCTGCAAATCTTTTTTGAAAGCTGAAAACGATGTCCTATTTTTTTATTATGGGTTTTATTATTGATGTTCCTTCACCTAATATCAATGTCAATTGACAGTTTCTAGGGCTTACTTCTATTTTAAGAATCATTAAATAGGTCTTACGATACTGTTTCTGTATCGTCAAAGTACTTCATTTAATCTTAATCTTAAAACTCTATGTCAACCTTCATGTATTAACTGGTTTATATCGGGAAAGCTTTTTTCATTATTTACCGTAACTCCCTCTCCCGCCCTAATTCGAGGCTGCAAAATCTCTAGGTATTTCTTAAGCATTTTTTGAATCATCGCATGCGGTCCAATCTAATTTCGACAATGGACAGGCTTGAATATTTTTTTGTTCAAGGTAGCACTATTGCAATAAGTGGGTCTATTAGATTCGAAATGACTCCAATTTAAGGTTATCGTAGCAACGTATTCCATCTGCCTTGTTACCCCTAGTAATTCATGCAGTGCTACTTTTTATCAATGGAATATGGGGAACAGTACGATGGTCAAAATAGATGAATCGTATAGTCTTACTTCATCTAAACAGTTTTATTTATCAAACTTTTGACCTTCTCGAATCTGGACGTTTAAACTACTTTCTAAACAGCAATCATATTAAATCATTTATTTTTAGCTACGAATTTATATAAACCGACTAGAAATGCAATTCATTAGCTTCTTATTCGCCTCCTACCTCTTTGTGATAGGAATTACTATATTTATTAAATTAAACGTTGTTAATTTTGTTCTAAGTAATTCAAAATTTGTTTATTTTCAGGTACCTGAGTCTGACCATCTAACCTATCTCAACGTTTTCATTCGTTGGCGCAAAGCTGGTTACTCTTCGTCTTTCTGTACTCGCAATTTCATTCACGTTAAAGCAATGCGCAAAGTTCGTGAGGTGCGGCAGCAATTGAAAGAAATTATGGAACAACATAAAGTGGCTCTCTGTTCAAGTGGTACGGATTGGGATGTTGTCAGAAGGGCTCTATGCTCAGCATTTTTCCACCAGGCGGCTAGAATCAAGGTAAGCTTCCACCAAATTGTCTCTGTTCACCTATAATCCACCTCTATCGATTAACATTTTACACGAAAAGCCTTTCCACACTTTAGTGTCGATGTCTTATTTTGGTAATAATATTCCTTTCACTCCAGGGTCTGGCGGAATACGTAAATCTACGCACAGGTATGCCTTGTAGACTGCATCCTACCAGTTCGCTCTACGGTATGGCGTACACTCCGGATTATATCATCTACCATGAGTTGGTAATGACCTCGAAGGAGTACATGCAATGCGTCACTGCTGTGGATGGTCGGTGGTTGGCTGAGTATGGTCATGTATTCTACAGGTATGTACCATTTCTATTGTTCGTGCTTAAGCGGTTGTCGTTAATCATTCGCTCAGTTTATTCCCTGATGGATACAAATCGGAATAGTGTTAACATTCTTTGAGTATCGTTAGTCTTAAGGTTACTTTTCTTAGAGATTTTGAGCTTTTCTCCTTTTGGTCATTTTGAAGTAGATCAGTTCAGTTTTACACCCTAGATTGATATTTTATCTCTGTACGATTCAAGGCTGTTATTTTAAGTTTAGATGCCAATTTTATCCCGACATGAAATGTGTTTCTTATTATTACTGTCGGGGATTCATTGAATAGCATATTTCATCACTCCCTTTTCTCCCTGCTTTCTGCACAGTGTCAAAGACCAGAGTTTGAGCAGAGAGGAGAGACAACAGCGTGAAGATGCCGAACGCGCACAAATGGAGGCTGAAATGAAGGCTGCTGAAGTTCAATTGGCTCGTCGCAAGGAAGAACTTGACCGCTCGATGAGCTCTACTCGTCTGTAAGTTTGTCTCTCTTTTATCTGCATTTTGTTTCCACTACTGCAAATTTTAGTATTGTCTTGAAATCGGAATAATTAAGCTAATTGGTTTGTATTGATTTGCTATTATATTTTCATTTTACTTAATAGGCATCCAATTGCGACTCCGGGGTTCAGAAAGCCAGGAACTCCGGCTGTATCGAAGCGTCCACGCGGTCGACTGGGGTTATGATAAGAAAACATGACAGTTGCCTTTCTTTCCCCCCCCCCTCCCCCCCCCGCCCCTCTTCCAATTTGATTTTATTTACTACTGCACATATGTGGAATATAGTGTTTGTACCATATATATTTATATAATTGTATAAAGTCTTCTTACGTTACGTGTGCTTGGTTTATGCGATATGACTTTGGAAATCCTTCCCACCACATTATATTTTACACAACCCCCCCTTCCCCCCAGCTTTGACTAAATTGCAAAGATCAGGATTGGGAGCAAGTGCCACATTAACTTGACTTTTTTTGTAGGAGACAATGTCTGAAGATGAACAGTTGGGAATATATAATGATGCGAATGAATTTGAAGAATTTAGCAAAGAAGGTAACCATTCACCTTTGATCGATCGGATTGTTTCAATTTCGCTTGTTTAGATTGGTTGCCAGATGAAGAGGATGCTTCAGACAAGAATGTTTGGGATGACTCTTGGGATCAGGGTGATATTAACGAAAACGAGTTCACTCAACAATTGAGGTTAGCAATTTCGAATATGTGTAAATTTTGTTGGAAGAAGTGTGTGTGTGTGTGTGTGTTGTGCTTTTGGAGTAAGAACCATTTTGGTCCACTTTTATAACTTATTAGCATAGTGTCGTGCGCCAGGCTGACAGGCCTATTCACGTACCATAATTATATGCATGCATTGTGCTCGTATGCTACTTTGTGAAGGTTATAATTATCACTTACCTTATTGTCCTAAAAGTTTTTTTCTTCTTTTATTATTTAAGGAATGATCTGAGAGCGTGGGGCTACCTTTCGGAAAGCTAACCTTCGGGAAGATTATTTTGTATAATATCAGCTTTTTTCAACTTCAAGATACTGTCTTGTTTCTTTTTGTGCTTTCGTCTGTGAGGAAAGGGAAATATTAGTGAAACTGCCATCCAGTAGTTTCGAACGGTCATGGCTAACCATTAGTTCCAGTCTTCCATGAAAATGGATGGAAGCTCGTAAACTGCTTGACCTGGTCTGTTTATTACAGTTTGTGGAAAGAGTTGACTTCTAATCCCACACATTTGTAAGCATCAACTGATATAACGAAATGCAAACAGCACAAGCCGAATGTTGGACATCGCTTTTCCTCGAAAAAAACTTGTTGGTGATCGGCTAAAAGGCCTGTAGTCACACACACTCGTTTAATTTCAATGTCATTATGAGCGTTTATTGACCTTACATTTTCTTAAAATGTGCGTTAACAATCTCAAATGCCTTATTGAAGTTTTGGTCATCAAGTTATAACATGCCTATAAGAGTGCCATACATTTGCCATCGCTTTACATGCCTGGCTGAATGTTGCCTTTTGTCCTGGAGCACAATAATTCACTTGTCTATTTCTGTTTTATTAATGCACCTAAGACATGATAGTTCTAATATCGAATTTTTCATATAATGTTGTAGCACGATTTTTTCTAGTTGTGTGCTCCAGATTCCGCGTAAAATTATACCAAATGGCAGTCTTTAGTTAACTTCGAACTTCGCTGAGGGGAGGAACATCTAGGTCACAAACATTCGAGAGGGGGGGGGGACAAAAGAGTGATTCAAGATGTGAGACAGACACAAGAGTAGTGAAAAGGTAAGGGGAGTGCCGTGAAAGTGGCCAATATGACATACAATCGAATCATGGTAGCTTGAAGTCGGAAGTCAATTGCTAGTTTGTAGACTTTTTGCTGAATGATTATACGTTGCCCGAGATGCACCACGTGGAGGTAAGTCTATTCCACTGTTCTCTTCCCTCTCTCGTCATTCTGTGAAGTCCGAAGTTAACTAAAGGTAAGTCTATTGAACACCCCTTGTAAAATAATGGGCTTCACGAATTAGTTTCTTATTTTTTGTACGTCCGGTGAAGGACATCCTATTCTTCCGTCATAAATAATCATGAAATGAGTTTTGAATTATAGGTTTTCCTTCATTCCCACTGCTGTTTGCTCATATGAGTGTTTGGGAAATCCCCCCCCCCCCCTTCATGGATTCAAGGACGTAAATGTTGCTCAATTGGCTGAACCAGAAGATCCCAGAGAGTGTCTGGTTTAGGCCACATTTTCGTATTTTATCAATCACAGCCAGTTTGATCGACAAATTTGGCAAATAGGACGTCAATCTTACTCCATTTTATCGTGTTGTAAAGTGGATTTATCATAGGATAGCCCAGGTACCAGAGTTATAACATTACAGTAAAATATAGATCTATGTCGTCATCATCTCTGTGAAAGGTTTCCAAATATTACTAATGAATAGTCATTTAGGAGTTATTTCATTGTTTTCTCTTTGTTACAATTTCATAAAATACTCGTATATCACGTTTTATCCAATAATTCTACTTTATTATGATATCCGTAGGGAGAAAAAGACTTATGGAGTTCTCCATCTGGTTTATGCAATAGATGGAAATGAAATGTTAAGCTGGAAAGGAGGAATAGAGTGTAGAGGTTGCTTTTCTTTCATTCGACATTAAAAATATCTTAAGTAGTGCAAATCATGGGAACGCTCCCAAGTTAGAGGAATAGCAAAAGATGGAGGTGGGGGGGGGGGGAATGAAGAGGGTATGAAGAAATCAGCATTAAACCTCCAATTAAGTCAGGATATCACGGCTGTTACCTTATTTGAGTTCTGGAGGTACTCCTTTTTTCCAATCTCTTCCGATTGATACGTTAGCATCGAGGTTAAGAGCTTGATTTACAACCAAAATTTTATGGCCACACTGTCCTGTGGAGTTTACTCAAGATGATCTCTCAGGTTTAAAAATAATGGCATCTTCTTAATATTTAAAAATTTAGGAAATTTTCGAGTGCCGATAGTCTCTTGGGTGAGGGTTTCAGACTACTACCACCAAGATCTCAATGTCAAAGTTTGTCTTTTTTTCTTGTCAGAAACTGTTTCAAGTGTTCTGCTCTTTAGGGACGTAAGTGTGATTTTTATAAACTTTTATGCTAAAATAAAGTACAGAACGAAATATTGCGAAGCAGGAGTGAGGAAGATTAAGTTACGTTGCACTTCTCAATATCCACTTTTTACTTCGGTATATTAACTTTAGTTGATGTAATATTCATATCCTTTTTAAAGAGCAACTTAACGAGAGTGTGTGTGTGTGTGTATTGCTAGAAGGTCGAACAAAAGTATTCAGGGCGTATATTTAAAAAAAAAACTCAGAAACCTTTTTTATTCACAAATCACAGAGGATAGGCAATGGTCAAAAGAGCACAAATCACCGAGATAATATTACATTCAAAGCAAAGTTGAAAGCGCACAATTTCAAGCAAACTCCTCCCTCGACTTGGATTTCGGTTTAAAAGCGTTATTTGTCTCCGGCAGTCGGTAATGGAAGTAGATTGAAGCAAGAGCCGTGAGAATACTGTAGATGAGGAAGACCACCAACTCCCCGATTTCACCGCTCTCACCTCCATTTGGGACTTTTTCATTGATTTTGGCAGATGGATTAGGAATAAATGAGTGACCATTAATAACGCTGACAATGGGTTGGAAGGTTTGAGTAATGACAAATGAGACGATCCATGAAGTAGCAACAGCCGATGCGCTCACGCCCCCTCTGTGTTGAGGCGGAGTGAGCTCAGCTGCTACTAGCAATCCCAATGGGCCCCATCCAGACTGGAAACCCAAGAGGAATCCAATTAATCCGAGGAATGATAGAAATGGTGAAATCTAGTAGAAAAGAGTAAATTGCGACAAGTTTAAATATTTCTATTTTGAGAATTGTAGTTAGCAAGCAAATCGTTGCTATGCGTGAAAAGTTCCATTTTTTTAATCGAATTCAAAGTTTCTTAAAGCGCAATTGACGAACTACCTGTCTTTAATTTGCCTTGAAGGAATTATATGAAATTTGTAAAATCATTTGCATGGGCTGACCAATAGATTTGATCATTATTAATGAAGCGAATTGGCAAAAGGGTCAATTAATGGAAGAAAGCTGCGGGAATGCTAGTAATTTATACCCTCGGGAATAATCATTCTCAAGCAGTCAATGAGTGTGTATTCGCGAATCACCAAGGGATAGCAATGACAGCGTTGCATTTGCCAAGCAAGCCCTTGCTTAACTGGCCATTCGAAATCGCTTTTGACAATTTAGCACTGAAAAAATATATTTTGACGAGACGCGATAAATTTTGGCACCCATCTCGTAATCGCGGATAACATTGTTTGTATTTTAAATTAGACCCATTCGAACAAATTTACTAATGAATACAACATTATGCATTTCAAGTGTCATATGATTAGCTATTTTAATAGCGATCAATTAAGCATATGCTAGAATAGCAATGCACTTTTCTGTCTTGATCAGGAGGCAAACATGACAAAGTAAACACCTCTCTCACCTAGCCGTTGTCCTGTAAACTGTTTATACTCATTACAATTGGGTGACCCAGTCATTCAAACAGCTAGTAGATACCTCGACAACACCAAAATTGACAGTTTAATTGGCCAAATCCAGATAGCAGCAAGATAGGAAACAAACCTAAATGGCGTTTTATTAAACACCATCAACAACAAACAAAATTGGAAGGAAGAAGAGAAATATTTACAGGAGGCACGGAACGTGGTAACATTTCACAGACCAGGAATTGGTTAGCAAATAAAAAGAAAATAAAAGTCAGGATATGTCTTCAAGAAACAGGGGAATACTTGTATCGAAACATCGGAGTCATGGATAGATACCAAGAGGTAGATTTTGGGCGATCGACTTCCGACAATCCCCCTTCGAACCATCATACTTGATCTATTGACCTTGAAGTAAAAGACCTCATAAAGAGAGGATTAGTTTCTGGCAATTTTTGATGAAGATACACCGAGGCGAATAGTGTGAGGATAGCATGGGCAACGAAGACAGCCAATTCGCCGCTGAAACGCACCAGGGGTTGAAATGACTGGGTCACCAAAAAGGTGATTCCCCAATTTACTGCTACCGCTGCTGCTCCTGCCACGCCTCGATATGCAGAAGGAAAGAGCTCCAGTGTGATGAGCATCGCCAGTGGACCCCATCCACATTGATAGCCGAAGAGGAAGGCAATCAGAGAGGTTAGTGGCGATATTGGTGCGGAATTGGGGAACTGACAGAAAGACGGTGTAGAGAAAAGGGGAAAAGAGGAAGTGTGTTAGTAGGGGGTTTAGAGGTCTAGGTTAGATATACTAGAAAAGCACAAAGAAATGTGAGGGCAAACAGATTCATGCAGAGAGTAGATAGCTATAATCTAAATCCATATTATGCTACTTGTACATACTCGAGACACATTTCTCAAACAGCAAGTGCAAATATGACTAGCTGAGCCTGAATTGGCTCATGCATAAATGCATCATTTTTTTGTGACCATTGTGAACTTGAACACACATTGCTTTATTAAGTAAACGAGGTGGTCTTTGGGCTGTTGATGCTCTTCTTCTTATCGCACTTAAAACGCACCCCAGCGTGGGAGGCTTGATATGTCAATTCCACCATTTAATAAGCAAGTTTTCAAAGGGGATGGACACCTAGAGACACGCCATTTCCGCCAAGACTCTTAATGTGAACACGTGAAAAGAGGTCACTGAAAGATTAAGAGAACCAGTCGTCAAAACGATATTTGACAGTGCATATTATTCTCCAAAAGCACAAATATAATGAAAAAGGTTCCTCTATTCTGGAAGTGACTATAGATTCCAGGAAAGAGATCCTCAATTTAACTGCTGCTTATCAAACCAACAACACCATGATGACAAAAAAATTAACGCGAGATAATTTGGGATGCAGTTAATAAGACGTCAACGGTGAAAAAACCTGTCAAAGGAAACCATTGATCAACATTTCAGAGCTACTTTTGATTAAATATTTCAGGCTTTGAACCAATGTGTGAAAAATAAATCACGGGACTCGGAACTACGTCAAAAGCTAGTTTAATTTCAACGACAACGAATAGCATATTGATTTGTTTTAAAATCTAAATTTGCATCACATATATACAAGTCGCCAACCTCTATTCTCGCCATTATTGAAAATTAAAATGCCATTATTGATGAATGACAACCATCATTAGGCATAGTTGTGGATGACTTGACTGGTGTCGAATTAAAAGTCATATTGATTGTAACTAACGTTTTTTTGCGATTTTATGTAAAAAAACCAAAGGAGCGTATATCTGCACATGTAAGAAAAGCCAACAACTACCACCGTTATTTAAAACAACAGTGAGAACTTCAAGTTGGCAAATTTATCCAATTCGGCAGGCCTAAAAAAAAATTAAGGCAAAAATATGAATACTTTGATCTTCTACATCTCAGAAAAGATTTTGATTGTAAAAGTTTGGAGAAATTGCCCCAGAGACGTGCACGTCTCCCCACATCACAGAGATCGATTGCTACCAGTGAGCAATAGGCGATGTGATTGGCGGCGGTGAGTGGTGGAATGCGAGATTTTCTTCAAGGTGATCTCAAAATATCTGCCGTTTTTAATGAGGATATACGTACTGTCATTACTATTTCAAGTAAATACAAATACGAAAATAAAAACAAAGTATGGTTATAAGTAATGAAGAGGATATACCTCTTCCTGGATTCGCAGGAGCATTAAACTAAATGAGAGGCAGATCTGTCTCTCTCTCCCTCATCACATGAGTGCGAAGACAATTAAATAGGGAAAATGGCAAAAATAAAGTCGTAATGGGTTTTTTTACAATAAAATTGCTCATCTTCGCTTCATTTTAGGATGCTAAAATTTGGCGTAATAGGCCCGTGTTGACACCAATAAGAACACGACTAGGCTCCTTCATTAGAAGGATTCGGAATCAGGCCATCTAAACTGACCAAATAAAAAAAATAAATCTAATTCGGATGCACCAACCCACATATCATGGCAAGCAACCTCGAAGCAAGGTTTCGTGGAAGATGGTCACAAGAAATTCTCAACAATGAAGGCTAAGGGTCGGCTCTTGCATAGTTTAAGTAAACGGTAGGATAGGATCGAACTTCTCTCGTGGAACAGCTTTCACTTTTAACAAAGACAAATGCAACCTTCAATAAACAAAAGATGATAGAAGTGCAATAGGGAGCAGGCACTTCTGGCGAGGTCAGAACTCTTGAGATCGATTCCTATCGGCATGTATCCAGTGATGTGAACTCTTTTCAGCTTGAAGAGAACAATGAAATGTGAACCTCGTGTCTGAGTGGTTTGGTATACTTCCTCTCAATCGAATTAAAATAATGTTAATGCGTTGGAGAAATGATTTAAAAATATTTTTAAAAATAGGATATAACACACACGCTATAAAGCGTTACTAAAATCAATAAGAAAAGCGTATAGAATGTGTGGTATTTTTCTAAGCTCCACCGAATGATACTTAAACAAGTCCTTCTTTAACGACCAGAAATCTGAAACAAGACGGTTGCTCAACCCTAAGCATAGTACAACCTCCTAGAATTAATGTCTCCAAAGGCACTGAAAGAAAGCACTGGTTGCTTTAAGACCAAGAAGAACAACCAACTAGGCAAATTCAAATCTCATTCCCAAAGTATGATAATGCATAGCATATTATTCGAGGTATTTAAATTCTGCATCAATAGAAGCTAAACAATTAGTAAGGAAGCAAACTAGTTAAGTTTAGTGCCTAAGGCAAACTTCAGTCCAAAAGTCAGGTACATGTTCGAAATCTCGGATAATATTAAGCACTTATTGCAAGTTTGGAATAGATCAAGTGAACAGAAAAGACGGTATTCGCTCTAAAACCTCACTCTTTTATAGGTCGAGAATATTAAGAGACCCTCATTTAACTTCATCTCCGATCGCGTGGTATAATACAACGATAAAGTGTCCCTCTTTAGGGAGTAATGAAAACAGCCGATACAATACTACTCACCTGTTGGCCAATAGCAAAAAGGAACATAGATGAAGACATGAGCAAGCCAGTGGCAACAATAAGTTTCCTTCGAGGCAGCCGATCAATAATGAAGAGACTGGCAAAAAGGGAGAAGAGGAGTTGAGCAAGCCCCAAAGCGAAAGCACACTCAGCCGAGTGACTAACATGCACCATTCGTTGACAGAGGGGTTCCGTGTAGAAAGTGATCACGTTGATGCCTGTTGTCTGCTGCGCTATCATTAGGATCATGGCTATCCGCAAGTTTGCGCTTAGCTCTGGTGGGATGGTGGTACAGGGCAGGAGGAGGTGAAGGACCTGGGTCTTTACACTGAGGTTGGGAGTGTGGACTTTGAGAAGTGGTTTGTCAAAAAAGTGCTCTTGAAGAGTGAAATTGTCGGGCTCAGAACCAGAGGAAGCGAGTTCAGAGAGTTCCTGCATTGCAACTCTTTGCTAAATAGAGAAAATAAAACATATAAGAGTTGATATGAATTTTCTAATGGGATCAAATCGCGTTGACAAATTAATACTACTCGTCTTCATGTTATAAATAGCCCCGCATCTTTCAGGCAAAACAGAGAAAAGAGTATGATAACCTTCCCCACTTACGAAACCTATTTCTTTTGAAAGAAAATAGTGATGCAGTAAACGCTATAACCAACTTTGCTGATTCATATTGGGTTAAGCAAGAACCAATAGGTCACAGCATTCTCTCTCTGCTCAAGGCGGAAAAATAGGATCTCCATTCAAGGAGGTTGAAAAAAGTATAGATTAAACAAGTAGAGCAAAAATAGACCATAAAGTTGAAGGAAGGACAAGATCGATGAATGTGGAAAGGGGAACGGAGTAGAGAAAAACAACTTTACGACAAGAACCCCTCAAGCGCACCTATTTTCTTTTAGGCCTTCTTTACTTCTATATTCCACACATATCTTTAATCGAAGTCAAAAACGAATGCCGATTGATAGACTTTTTTGCCGTAAGAAAATACGTTGTCCAGGGTGCACCACGAGGAGGTAAGACAGTTTGGTGAAATTAAGGAAGACATAGCAACACCAAATAATGTACTTACTGAACCATTCCGACCTTGCGAACTTAATGTTGCGATAAAACAGCTAAAGTGCAAGAAGTCTCCTGGCGAAGACGGTATTCATCCGGAATTTCTAATTAGAATGGGTCCAAAAGCCAAGGAAACCATGCTGACGCTTTACAACAAAATCTGGGAGACCAGTCTCGTACCTAACCAATGGAAAGTTGTCATAGTAATACCAGTACTAAAAAAGGGCAAAGACCCTAGCAACTTTGACAACTATAGGCCTATCTCCCTCACAAGCGTGCTAGCTAAACTTATGGAAAGAATGGTTAACAGGAGGCTGACCTGGTTCCTTGAGACTAACAATATTCTTAGGAGTGAACAAGCAGGTTTTAGGCCACAAAGATCAACGAACCAACAAGTAGCCACTCTCTCCCAACACATCAAAGATGCCCTTGATGCAAGAAATACACTTACGGCTGTTTTCGTCGATTTCAAATCAGCATATGACTTAGTATGGAAAGAGAAGCTAATTCTAAAATTGGCAAAGATTGGTATTAAGCATAACATGCTAAACTGGATAAAAGCATTCATTGGACAAAGATCGTGTAAAGTCAGATATGGAAATGCTCTATCAAAATCCAATCTTTTGCAAACAGGCCTTCCACAGGGAGCTGTCACAAGCTGCACTCTTTTCAATGTCTTCATCAATGACATAGCCGAATTGGTACAGACAGTCACGGGCGTTAAGTGCTTACTTTATGCAGATGATCTTGTTCTATGGTATTCCGCCCCTAAGAAAAACGCTNAGAAAACCAAGCAAACGTTGGTGCAGGTGTCTATTCTGAACTCTTCTCTTTCTACGCAGCAGCGGGACATAATAGATCCGCTTTTGAAGGAGAAATAGAGGCCATTAGGATAGCACTATGCCAATTATGTTGCCTGGATACGAAATTCACCAAAGCGGTGATACTTTCGGACTCACAGTCAGCAATAGACTCTATTGGAAACAGAGAGACACCCAAAACAGCTGAGATAAAGGAATGTAGAAAACTCTATGAGCTGCTGAGAGAGAAAAACAAAACAGTGGTCCTACAATGGATTCCTGGTCACTGTGGCATTAAAGGCAATGAGATTGCTGACACACTTGCTAAGAAGGGGACAACGATTTTGCAATGCATGGACCGCCCGATGTCTTTCCACACAATGAAGGCCTTAATCAGGAGAGAATTCCAGACCTCAAGGTGCAATGAACTTAAAGCTCGAACAAAGGAGAAACAGTGGACAGTGGCACTCTCCGACATACCCGACTGGCCAAGAATCGAAGCCGTTGCTGAGTTTAGACTACGTACCGGACACGATTGCTTGGCAAAACACCTTCACAGATTGGGAGTATACACTCAACCCACATGCCCTCTATGTAACCTACATGAGGAAATGGAGAAGACCCACCTGATTCGGTGTCCAGCTCTAAAGACAAGGACGGAAAGCCAAAGATACTGGGAAGCAAGAAGACTGCTAATGAACTGCTATTAATTAACTGCTATAAATGTACCCCCCCCCCCTCTTGGGGGAAGCTGAAGTCAAAGATTAAGGGCTAATGATAAATATCATAAAGCCTGCCATTTGAAATAAAAAATATATTCCACACGTTCAATTAGGAACAAAGTGATGAGCAAGTAATGGACAATGTGACTCCCTCCCTGAAGTCTTGTGTGCAAACCTAATCGGGCACAAACTGTTGCGCATCTATTGCATTAAAGCTTTAATTTGGGAAGTTGAAATGCAATACCAAATACTGCCATTCCAGCGTTCTTTTTCAAAAATTCTCCAATAAAATAGTCATAGATTAAAGTATAAAATGCACCAAAAATAAGCGCTATCCGGGGAATAGTACACTTTTAAAACACGTTTATTCATCGCACATATGCTCACAAACATGCTATTTACTGTTGAGCGATGTGAAAAAATTAACCCAATTTAATCCATTTTTATTATAAAGCATGGGAAGGAGAAGAAAAAGCAAACGGTGGGTCAAATTTTAAAAAGAGTATTACAAAAATACTTGTCACTTAGGCATATCATGGGACGAGGGGACAGTACCAAATCACCTGACGATACTCGGACTAAAATGAGGGCAATATAAAGTAATGGAAAACTTGAATGTGAGATGAATTCAAGCTAAAATAACTACGAAGCGTAGTACATATGTCGAAAGGCTAGATTCATTCCAATAAGTGGTAGGTACCTTGTTTTATACTTTCAAAACCAAGGATGTCATGTATGAATCACTTCCCCTTAACTGTTAGGAATCAGTTAACTGTCTGGCCTAAAGCATTAGTGAACTCACTAACAAATATTGCATATTACATAGAACCCACAAAATGAGTGTGAAGGCTAACTACAATAATTATTTGGCCGTGACAGTTTCCTAGGCAAAAAAAACTATAATTGCCCTAAGCTAAATATCCCAACCTTAATTTTGTACAAGACGTTGAGGGGAGGCGGGGGGGGGGAGGTATAATTAAAATTCTCGTTTTAGAGTATTGGATAGTGAGCAAACTATGCGCGTCTCAGTTGCCACGCACTTATGAGATGTTTGCTTGGACGGAAAGCAAACAACAAAATACCAGAGGCGTCAATGGTTGTGTATGTACACGTGGCATAATAAAACGCGCAGGCCATAAGGATAGATTTGTTAAGGAGAAAACGGCGGAAATTGGCAATCACTCTATTGAAGTTATTCCTAGGCCCCACTAACTCCCGCACTAACCTAGAAGTAAATAGGGATATGGAAAGACCAAAAAGCTGGTGGAGTAGTGACCCTGGAATAAAATTATTCTTCCTGCACATTTTTTATGCACATTTTCATTGGTATTTTCGCCTGTTAGCGTTACCACTGTCACTCTTAAAAAAAAATTATACACGTGATTTAAATACAACTATAGACTACGCGTGAGTTCAAACCTAACTTATTGTGAATCAATTAGCGGATGCACGAAGTTCAAAAATATCAACACAGGGAATAATTGACTGCATTGATTGAACGAGCGAGCTTTAGACCATTTAATTTTCGCCAAAATAATTGATGAATGGGATTTCAGGTGTGATATCTCACGGGAATATTAAGAAACTTATATTAGAAATCTAATTCACCTGAGAGACAGCAATATAACTTGGATTGCTATAATTGGGGCCTTATGAAATCATAACAAAAGACAAAGGAACAAATAATAACTGAACTTTCTTCAAATAAAGAAATAGATGTAATAGGAAGGCTGAATCGGCCGATAATAGATTTCAGAAGGCCATGATAGTTTGTACAATATGGAACGATTTGATAAAATTTGTTAAAAAAATCATCTGGTTTATAATCTCAAGCAATTGACACCAAGTAACCTTTCAATAGAACAGGAAAAATAAAACAATTAAAAAGAATAATAACTCCCAGCAATAAATTATTTGCATGAAAATATTAAATTGAAACTTATTCTCTCAAATGCAACAAACAGACGTGGTTTAGACATCGGAGTAAAACAAGACTATAGATATTTCGATGCCATTCTCTTAAAATGCAAAATTAATTTGATAATTAAAATATAAGCATACATCGCCTCGGAGCCAAGTAAGGTCCTTTAGTGCAGCCTGCATTTGTCCATGTTTGACTAACCAAGCAGACGATTCGGGTAAAAAGAATGTAGCGGCAAGCAATATCACAGAGAGTACCAACACCAGAAACGCTGTTTCATACCACATAAAAACCATTCCACAATAGTAGGCGAAACATGTTCCAGCAACAGTTCCGAACTGAGCCAGCGAACCGATACGACCAGACTGATGTGGTGGAGCAACCTCAACAAGATAAACAGAGGCGACAGCATTCATGATACCCGCAGCAAATCCTGATAAAAATCGTCCCAAGATGAAGGAAAATACTAAGAATGGATCAGCAGAGGTGGCGGGTGGTGAAAGACCTTTTGCGGCGGCAATTAGTAACCAACCGAAGACTGATGGGATAGAGGAAATAAGGAGTGTTTTTCGACGACCTCGGTTATTGAGCATAGGTCCGACTAATAGGCTGCCTACTAGCGCACCCAGGTTAATGATACTAGAGAAAAGGGCAACCAACCCATCACCGATAAGTAACTGGGCAGAAACCGATGAAGAAAATCCCAGGGCAATCCCTACACAGTCAAAGATGTAGTTAACTCCAAATAATCAATCTTACCACAAATAAAAGGACCAATTGATATGATAAATATAGTAGCTAAAATTCTGAGGAGGGCGATTTTGCGATTATCCATTTTCAGAAGCTATTCCTCCAATAAATCTAGATTTAACTCTAAGTACCCAACAAGCAAATATAAGCCTGCCGGGTTAATGTCACAGCAGACTTTCGAATAAGTGCGACCTTTGGAACGTCGACGTATTACTCTTGAACCTAAAAATAATAAATTAGCCTATACAAAGTGTCTATATTATAAAAATGCTTTCCCCAAAATTAATGAGAAGAATAAACTCCTTTATACAAACCGTGAAAATTTTCATTTCTTGTTTATACCCTGATTTATTAATTGTTGCATATTCATATGAGGTGTGATGATTAATGAATGATAAGGAAATATATTAAATATGATTAATCTAAGATTTTAATGATTTTACTTCTGATTTCTTATTTTTAACTATCCGTCAAAAATAATTTTGTCAAAAGTCATTTATACATATACTCTCAGATATGTTCTTTTGTTGAATATACAAGATAGGGAAGAAAATTAAGGGACAAACATCTTAGGTAGCTTTAATCTGTTTAAACTTTGCGAATTCAACTTGGAATATAATATATGTTATTAGAATAGTTTAGACTCTTAATTATGAATTTTTCATTGAAGAAAATAATCGAAATTATAAGCTGACATTTATTTTATATCTCTGGAAATTATCGAGTATTTCTACCTCATAAAAATCCTTAGCCATGCCATTTGGTTACATTTTTACGTTAGGAAATAAATCAATATCCGTTATGGAGAGATGAATTATATTAAGCTCAAAGAGGCCGTTTCATTTCGTTTTGAAATTACGTCATCGAAACTGCAAATTAATCTGAATGAAATTCATAAAATAGATGTGAAAAATGATATTGTCAATCAAACAATGTTATCTGTGTTATTCTAGTCCCAGTGTTAGGCCACACGATTATCTTTCGTCGAAATACGAATACTGCTTCTAAAGTATCTCCTTTGTCTATCCGAATATGTACGGCTATTCTTCCTGCATTTCTAGAATGCTACCCTATCAAATGAATCAACCTACTTAGTTCATTTACTAGATCCACATATATAATAAATTTGAGCCTGTATATATTATGCAGTAATTAAAGATGAGCATTTTGTGATCATTTATACTAATATATTTTGTGTAGACTCTTGTGCTTTGCAATTTGGTGCACATGTTCAAATTACGATCTTGGCTGGCTTATTTCCCCTTTCAGCAGGCAAGAGTCGCACTTGCCAATGTGACTACTGTTGTTCAAATAGCCTGTTATTTAGGTGACCACGTGCTAACGCTGTTCTCAATATTACTCAAAAAAATTTTTGCATGATACTATTCATCCTCCTCACTCAGGATCTCTTCCTTATTACATAAGACATCTTGCGACCATTTAAAAGTATTTACCTCTTTTTTATTAGTTGGTACTCTTACAACCTTTCATACATGCATAACCTCACAGACCCCCCC